TGACACAGTGCTGTGTGCTGTGAAGTGAAAAAGAAAAATGTAGACAGGAATGATGCTCAGTGCTTTGGAGTTGCACATCTGCCTACGTGAGAGAATTCCCCTTTTCTCTGGGCTCTCATCCATGGTGCTTCCGTTTGTCGTGCGGAAGTGACATTTCTCAAAGTCATTCAGTTCTACAGAGGAATCTTTGGAATTTGCAATAGCAACAGAATTATTAATGACAGCAGAGCAGGTTGTTAGAGATGTGGGAGGCTGCAGCAGTGGTTTTAATACTGATGAAATTTGGTAACATCTGAAGTGCAAAGCTGCTTTTCTCCTTCAGGGAGGACATGTACTCTCAGGATTCCATAGACCTCCTCGCCAGCTCTGGGCTGCAGTTCCAGAAGCATGAAGAAGAAGGGATCGATACTCTGCATTTTGCTGAGTTGCTTATGACATCTGGGGTCGTGCTTAGTGACAGTGTGAAGTGGCTGTCCTTCCACAGGTAGGTCTGGGATGGTCACTGATGCTGGCAAGTGGGAAATCTTTTTGATTGAAATACCGCTGCTTTTGTCCATGGAGGCTGACACAGATTCTACGGAGAGTTACCAGCTCTGCAGTTCCTAAAATGAGCTTGAAGATATGAAGGGCAAGTTTAAGAAGCCAGGGCAGTTAGCAGTTGATTTTGTACTAGCACTTGCTGTGGTCTGGATTTTGTGTATGCGTTGCTTGCAAATCCTTTTGCTGCTACAGTCTTCCTCTATGGAAGAAGTTGAAATATGATTTCTACACTTAGTAACTTGTGTGCATTGTAAAGTAAGGGTTTTGTTTCTTATTCCTTACAGTGTTGATGGTGTTCCCAACTTCCATCTTGTGTTTATGTAAATCTGTGTAGCTAAGATATCTTTTATTGTAGAGTTTCAAGCAATTTGATGACAAATCCTCTGGTCCTTGATACCATCACAAGTGAAAGGACTTGAGAGAGGAGGAGGCAGTGACAACAGGTGCTTACAGGGTTTCCTTGCTTTCCTCTTTTGCCCATAGTTACGGAAACTTGCAGTGTTGGGAAGAGAAGCTTGTTCTTTGCAGTGATTAGCTGTTCCACAAGAGGTTAGCGAGGCACCCAGGGAGCATTCAGAAGTCATACACTGACATAGATGATCAGGGAGAATTCTGGCTCGGATCCAGAGAAGTTTTATGAATGTCAGAAAATGCGAAGGTCCTAAAGCTACAGCAAGTAAAACTCTTGTGAAAAACGAGATATTGGTACCAACTGAGTGTAGGTGTTTTCTGCTTATCTGGTTTCTGTATGTTTTTGTTTCCAGTGGTTATGACTTTGGCTACATGGTGAAGTTGTTGACAGATTCCAGGTTACCAGAAGAGGAACATGAATTTTTCCATATCTTGAACCTTTTCTTCCCATCTATCTATGATGTAAAGTACTTAATGAAGAGCTGCAAAAACCTCAAGGTACTTGTATGTCCCTAGCAAGCAAGTGATGACGGGCATCAACCCTGTAAATTGTAAAGCCAAGTGACAGAACTGCTGCATATGTCATCCTTGAACTGGAACTTGTATAAATGCTCGTAGTCGCACATAAGTACCTATGACTAAGTTGGTATCTCATAGATAATGCCTCTCTGACTTTAGTCTTATCAATATGTATTTACATAGGGGATGTTCCCATAACCTTCCGGTTTGTGTATCAGTAATGTCAGAGGCTAATTACAATGCAGCGTTGCTTATCTTCCCTGTGCAAGGTGGAGTATTTCTTACATGAACTGCTCCATGACTTGATTAACTGGTAGACACTCAGAGGCTTGAAAATAACTTATCTACTGAATCACAGCCTTGTTTGAGGGAGGGGAGGGAGAGAGAGGGCCAGCATTTATAACCTATGAATGTACCCACAGTCATCTCAAGTATCTGCAGCAGGAAAGCAAGGTTCCTGAATCTGGGATGAGTATTTATGAATTCTTAAACAATATTTACTCCTGTGTTTCACTCAGCATGCTTTGGAAAAGTGTGGCAATTCTGGTAAGAGATGGGTCTTCCAACATAAACACTGTCGTGTTCACATTGCAGGGTGGCCTTCAGGAAGTGGCAGATCAGCTGGATTTGCAGCGAATTGGACGACAGCACCAGGCAGGATCGGACTCTCTCCTCACGGGAATGGCGTTCTTCAGAATGAAAGAGGTACTGTGGTGTTCTTCTTTACAGTTCTCCTTTCTCCAGTTCCTATCTATGAATGTCAATCTGCACAATGTGGTTTTTGTTTTGGTTTTTGGGGGGGGGGCTTTTTTTTGAGCTTTGTGGCCATCGCACTTCAAACTGTCAACAATAGGAAGTGTTGATATTGGCCCAGACTTTTGTTTACTCCTCTTTCATGTACCTCCTTTAATTCACATGCTGCATCTTAGAGGTGGCTGACTTCAAATAAGCTGTTTAATTTACATTGGGGGGTTTCTGATTTGGAGGCACAGCTAAACAATACCCATTTCTTCCTTTTCTTAACCTGCAGTTGTTTTTTGAGGATACAATTGATGATGCAAAGTACTGCGGGCGGCTGTATGGCCTCGGCACAGGAGTGGCTCAGAAACAGAATGAAGATGTGGACTCGGTCCAGGAGAAAATGAGCATTTTGGCTATTATCAACAACATGCAGCCGTGATGAGCGGCACCCCTCAGCACAACGTGGTTTTACCATATTGGCAGCTGCTGTCCTCAGCCATTTTCCCTAATACTGTCTCAAACAAAAGGCATCTACAGCACATCCAGCCTGCACAAGGCCTGCAGTTCTGCTGAAGAGCAACATCTTCATTTGAAACCCACAAGAAGAGAGTTGAATGAATTCCTAATGCCAGCATTTGTGGTTTGCCATCTTTTTAATACCAAGGGCAAAAGAACCTACTGTACATACCTCTGTTTTTTTCCTCTTTATACTGTACAGAATCTGCAAGGAAGGGTAGAATATTGAGTAGGGCTGAGGGTGTGGAAATCCAGTGAAAATGGACACAGACATGCACACAGATTTGTAAATTGTGTTTTATAAAGCTTATTTTAAAACTTCTGCATGTTGTGAGGGTGACTACTTCACCTCATCTGTTGCTTATTTTATCTTGGTGTGGTCTGTGGAAATGGCTCCCTTTGATCACTGTGGAGGTTTGGTAACAGTGACATTAAAAATGATCCTTGCAGCTAAAAAATATTCAGAGATTTGCTTGAACAACGGTGCGGATGGATACTCCTGGAGCTGATTTGAACAGCTCTCCATAGTTTCTAATTCTGTGTGGTACAGGTTGACCCACACTGAGCCTCAGCTTAGTTCTTACGGGTATTAAGAAACTGTTCTGGAAATAGCTTGAGGCCTAGAAGTTTGCCTTTGGCAGAGACTTGGACCAATGCTTTGACTTTAGTTTTCACTTAACCTACAAATTTTATTCTTCTCCTTGCAACACAAGAACTTCAATACTTGATCCTCTTCTTGATCCTCTTCTCCAGCCCCTAATTTTACTGTCTGCTTAACAACAAATGAAACAGCTCCCTTTCTTTTCATTATAAACATCTGAAGTCATTAGAGGATGGAGGAACAATTTGGGATTCTGACTTTTTAAACAATGAGCTATTCTATTTTCAACAGCTCTAATGTTTCTTAAAAGCCCCTTTAACCCTTTTGGACATGGCAAGCTTAAAATGTTAAGACTTTATCTTGCATTTTAAACAGGCTTAACTGATCCATGAGTAGGAGCCGAGGTTTAGAGCTAGTTTTTCAAATGCTTGTAAATACTACTTGTTTTTAATTTTTGTAAAATAAATATTTTTTTTAAACCAGGTTTTGGTTTGGATTTTCCATCAAGCACTAAAATTCCCAAAATTGAGGCTTTAAAGTTGTGATACGTGCTTAAAGATGCTCAACTTTACCATTTATGATGTGTTACTGTGGTAGTTCTCAGTAAAATCTGCTTTTGAGGTTATTGTACAGGAGCTGATGGAAGTTGAGCTCAAGCTGTCTTTGGGGAACTGGTGCTCTCTTCCTGCTCACCTTAGCACAGCTGGTGGTGTTGAGTGTTCTTTCAGTGCAGTATTAGCCAAAGCTGTTTCACTCGTGCTCTGTGTGAAGTTCCCGTGCTCCATCTAAATTTACTGCTTGAAGCGCAAGAGGCGGTTCGGTGAAGCACTGGCTCCCCCTCCTGGTTTGCAAATACTTTGCACAGAATGTGGCAAGTTAAAGTTAGTGGCAGCAGTTTGCCGCATTAACGCATCTTGTAGTATAACCCCCAGCATTCATGTACTGCTCTTCACGTTGTTCTGAGGCTTTACTCAGCCTGGAGCAGGAAATTATCAGTAGCAAGTCTGCGTTTTGTCTGGAAAGAATCTGGAACAGGTCTTGATCTGATAAATCCATTCCTCCTACTCCCATTGTACTTAGAATCTGTCTAGATTCATGACACCCCTTACCCCATCCTACCACACTTTTTGCTGCAATTGAAAACTTGCTTCTAGAAATTACTAAGATATATGCTGTGGTCACTAAGGCTTATGCAGTCTTGTTCTTTTCTTAAGAAGAGTTAGTTTTGCTAACAAGACAGGCAAAGCCCTCCAGGTAAACTGTTAAGAGTGGCTGAAGTGTTGAATGGGCAAGACCCTGTAATTTAGGGTTGGTTTTGGCACTTCTAAAACAGCATCTTTTCTAGAGTACTTGATATAGTACCTTAAATTTACCACTGCTGGAGCAGAAACCACTTTGTTCAGCCACGTATGTTGCCAAAAGCAGGGACTTTTCTTGACCTAGAAAAATCCCTTACCTTTTGCTAGTTGTGCTGGAAACAAATATAGAAGATCTCACCCTCCCTATTACGTTGTGTAGGTGGCTTCACCATGCAAAACTGAATCATAGCACACTTATCTACTAACTTTGATTTACAGAGTATGTTTAACAACAAAACCACCCCAGGCTTATTTTCAGTACCTGTGCCTTTGACTGATACTGATTTCTATACATCAAATGAAATGCCAGTTCATGCTGGTAGAAGACTTTATTGAAAGGAGGGAAGATAAACTCACAATACTTTTAAGAACAATACTCGGGTAAGGGGCAGTTTGCTTACAGAAACCATTGTTTTTCTTCAGGGTAGCTACTATTCCTTCTCTGCTGAAAAACAAATATAGCTGCTCCAAACTGCTTCTCTTGCATGTCAGTAGTAAGAGCTTTCATTAGCATAACTTCCATCAAATAAAAAAAGACTATACAAAACTCCTGTATACAGTTCAAGCCCACAACCTACTGCCTTGCAATTTGCTAACACAATCTCCTTAAGGAGTAGTAGTTGACTGCAAGTGAGTCTGTATACTCCTGATTTATTGTGGTTTTATCCAAAATTACCCCAGCCATCAAAACAAGCCTTCACTTGAAGAAAGAAGAGCCGTGGTAGTGTAGGAAGCTCAAGGGAGACAGTGTGGTCTCAAGATGTCACGTCAAGAACCTCCTGCCACCCTTCCTATAGGCACCAGCACTGCCGTGTTTCCGAAGGAGATCCAGAGCCTGTTCCAACAGCTTAGGAGGACACTGTGACCCAGTGTGAAGGAACACAAGGCAGCACTCCAGCACATCCGGGAATGGGAAGATCTGCAAGACAACAAACACGAGGTGATGTCTTTCAATTATAATTGTTCAGCTATAACATACCTGAGGCAGCAGCTCTCCAAAGACGCTGCTCTGCAGTATCTTTAGAACAGATGATAGTCATAAATTGAATGTATTTTTGACTCTTCTTCCAGTGCATGAGCATTACCTGTAACCAGGTTTGCCCCCTTTTGCACAATCACCATGATTACCTTTAGTTATATTATAGACTAAAGAACAGAGGAGATGAGACAACCTAGGCAACACTGTTTTCAAACATGTCATGTGTAGTTTTTATAGTTCCTAAATGCCATTTTATACCTTAAATTTCTGATCTGTTTATCACAATGATTTTGCTTACATAATTAATTCTAAGTAACAAGGGATTACTTTTAAAATGCATGGGAGAGATTCATTCAGAATACCCTTCCAACACAAACCATTCTATGACTCTGTGAATATCCCATTAAGTTTTTCCATGCAGGATCTTCACCTATACTTCCCAACTGTATGGAGAAACTCATGCTTTAAAGAAAGCTATCACCCTGATGCCATGTGTCAATTCTCTCTCAAAACTGCCACAGGATCAGAAAGAAAGTCACTTTTCCTTACTTTCTGTATGAAAGGGATTCTATGAGGAGGCTGCCCCTTATAAAAAGACTGTCTTTTTCCAGAACCACAATGTCTCTTCTGAAAACTTACCTTCAGATTGTCTGGAAATTCTGCTAGTTTCTCCTTTGCTTTCAGAAGTTGCTTTGTGAGCTCAGGTAGCGTAATTGGTTGCTTTACTTCATCCTTACTGTCAAGAAAAGAGCAGCTGCTGTGAACAACCGGTTTGCTTAACTGACCACATTGCCTCTCCTTGTACAGCAAGCACAGGAGAGAGCTGGACAAGTGTAACATGCTCTAGCTCATTCTTGCCAAAGTCCTAAGTAACTGTTCAGCAAAAAGACAGACCGCTTAGACCACACTTGTCCTTTTCATTATCCCTCCCCTTCTCAGGCTGCCCTATTTATTCACTGTAACAACAGACCCTGCGTATCAGGGAATTCTCCAGCTGCAATAAGTGAATGTATACAGTGGCTGAGCCCCAAGAAAATGCAAGACTTCTGAAGTGTTGAAAGCTGTATGTTAAAGTGTCCCTGGGTGATGATCTTGAGATTAGAGGCAATCTGAGCTAAGCAAGAAATCTGCTGCACAAACACACACAAGCAGCAAAACTTTCAATCCATTCATTCATGTTCTGAAGCTTACCCATTCAGCTGGTTGCTGTCAGAGTGTGGTTTGTCTGAACTTTGCTCCGGGTTACTTTCCTGGGTGCTTCCAGTTGTGTTTTCCTGGAGATTATTCCTCTCCTGCTGATGCTGACGGATCATACCTGCTAAAATCTGCTGGACCTCAGCTATATCTCTCTGGGTGTTCTGTAAAGCAGCAATCTCTTCTACAAGAAGCACTTTGCAGCCATTCAGTTCTGACTGTCTGTCTACTAAATCAACTGAGGTAGTTCTCGAGTCACTTTCTGCCTCACTTCTCTGAACAGTTGTATGGCAGCAAGTTTCATCCATCTCAACTGCACTTCGATCAGGAGTTTCTTCAGAGGAGGACTGACCTGAAATATAACTCTTCTCAAGACCTGTTTGCTCACTGGGACACAGCACAGGACCCAAAGCCTTTTGTGAAGCAAGGGAGTTTTTGGGTGGGTTCCACCACAGGTCATACAGCAGTCCATAAGCCACAAAGCCCTCTAAACTTCTACAAGCATCCATGCTCAGAGGATGTGTGCTGTCCAGTTTGTGTCTCAAGTTATCACAGCCTAGTAAAGAAAAACAAACACCAAAAACCAAGCATTACAAATAGTTTCTACAACTTTCTGAAGAGGTTTAAATTAACAGCTATTCCCAGAAATCCAAACCAGAGATTTACTTGGATGCTGGTGGAGCGGTGCAGGAAGCGAGGAAGCAAAGGCAGACATGTTTGCCATCTTTTTAAACACAGTACTCTGTTCTACCATGAGACCGCATGTCTGAATTTTGATGGCCCAATAGCCCTTGCACTAGCCAAATTCCACAGGTTTCCACAGATATGGGTATGTCTTGCTCCTTCCAAGCATTATTATGCCTATTGATAATAATGGACACTTACAGGGAAGATCCTTCTGTCTGTCAGTGCCAAGAGAAGAGCCTTACCTTCAGGAAGGATGATCCTGCAAATCTCCTGCATCAGAGTGAAATTACCAGCATCATAACTGCGGGTCACGGCTCCAAGAATACTCTTCACTGCCTCATGCCAAGTAGCACTCCGATAGCTCAGGGCTGCAAGGCTCAGGTCATGGGAGATATGGAAAAGCACCTACAGGAAGCACCAGGGAGCATGATGGAATACTGTAAAGTATGAACATTGAGGAGGAGCAAAGAAACACAGCACTTAACCAAAAGCAAATTTAGCAACAGTGCAATTTACATAGTCGTCTTCACACAGGTGATAAGAGCACTTCAACATTACTTATAATGGTAAACTCAGCAGCTGTGCTTACTTGTGTCCTACTAAACAGATGAGAGATGGGAGCACATCAAAGGTCAATCACAAGAGCTGCAGGAGCACCAGGCAATGAATAGACCTTCTGAACTCCAGAGTGTTTTAATAACAAGCAGCCCTGACTCCAACAGCTCGACACAAAGCCCTAAATCAGTGCTGAGTCCACTCAGCTCTGCCAGTCACAGCCAGCACATCTCAGTGCTTGTCACTGACACCATCTGTCAGTTCTTACCCTGCACAGAAACAAATGCAGACAAACTGGTGGCTATGTAAGCTGTCCCAGCTGCCTATAATCTATTTCTCCCACATTATAGCCTCATTCTGCAACAGGGTGCCAACACCAGCCCCTAGGAATGGCTGGCACAGCACCATGGGTTGTGTTTTCCTGCATATGCCATAGTAAAGCTTAGTGTGCATATGGATCTAAATCCATTTACCTGCTTTGGGTGTGTGTTGCTGGTAGAAGGAGGATGCTCAACACTATGCAGCTGCTCCCATGCACATGTGGCTTGTTCAGTGGTGTCCATGCCCAGTACATTCTGCCACACTTCTATCACCATGTCCAAAAATGAGGCCTCTCTGTTGAGCTCCCAGCTGTGGTAGCAGGGAGGCACAGGGCTCTTTCGGTTGCAGGGATTTCTTTCACTAAGGCACTTGCAAAGCAGTTCATTAAGGCAGAAAACAAGTCTCTGTCCCTTTAACAAGGAAGAAAAATAAATCAATCGAGAGCACTGAGCTGCTGCCCAAAGAAAAGCAAATCCTTATTGATCACAGCAGATAGACAAATGTAAGAACATCATGGCTAGCAGCAGCTTGGTGATAGATTGTTACCCCACCATGGGCCCTTTGCCTCTGCAGAGGTACGTGTTAATCTGAAGAGAAACAACACTAAAGAAAGCTGAGAGGAAACTACCAAACTCACAAATAGTGTTTTATGTTGCTGAAGGACTTCCTGAGCTCCCACCCAGTTCCTGGATAGCAGCAGGTCCTGGGCACATCTGAAAGACAAAGTTGCTGACAACTCTTCCTCTCCAGATATCAGCGCAAGCTCAGCAGCAGTTTTAAGGGATGTCACATCCCCCTTTTTTGCCAGCACCTTAACTGCATCATAGGGTGAGGAAGCCCCCAAATAACTGAAAAGAGAGAATGGCAAGTCAACTTGGTTAGTACTTTAATACTGGTTTTGAGTTGTACTGCAGCACATACAATTGGAGATAAACCTGTATTTTCCATGGGTTCTCAGAGCTGTCATGACTTTGCCTTACCAAAGTTTACAACAGACGTATGGTACCTGATCTGCTGCAAAGCTACAAAGGGGAAGTTGGACAGCCTAATATTCTGGACTGAAACCTCTGGTGGTGTGCACACCTTGGATAAGGAACAGAAAGAGACAGACTGAAGAGAGAAGATTACAGTAGTTTATCCTTAATGCATTGCTCTGGATTTCAGCTGAATACTTTCACAAGCGTGAACACAAGCAAGAACTGGAACCAGCATCAAGCAAAGGCCATTATTCCAAGCCAAAGTATTTCAAGCAGTGTTAGTAATTTTGATAGTCACAAATTTGAAGCAATCTGACTGGAGGAGTATGACCCAGTGATCAGGATACAAGTCCTACACTGCACATTTTCAGTGGAAAGGTTGGGAACATCCCCCAGTCTCTTCATAGACATCCTACTCTTAGTCTTGCTAGACTCTTTTTCAGAGACTGCCAGTAATGCCTATGGAAGGAGCTGGCTCTCCTTTAATACAGCATTTGGACCTTCTGCTCTGAACTGTCCTCTGTAGCTTCCTTTCCCACCTGTGTTAGAGGGAATCGAGTGAGAAGAGGCTCAGAAACCACCTCAGACAAATAACAACCAGAGCAGTTGACAGATTTCAGCTACTACAAACCAAGAACCTTCTTTGTTTCAGGCATGGAACCGATTCTGTCTTCTTCCCAGTCCCACTCACCATTTGGCAGCCATAGCATAATGACCATCCTTTTCTAATACCGCTGCCCAGCTTGTGTAGAGATCCTTCAGAATTGGATCTTCTGGACGCAACCTGGCCTTAGCAATTACAATTGCTTCCCTAATGCACATAAGAGAAGCAAGATAGGGAAGTTAATTGACTGTGTACAAAAAGTGAACCCAAATATCAAATCTAACCCATTAGAAAACATGAATATACAGCAACCTGTAAAACTGGTTCACTCTCAGGAGGTCAATGGCCTCATACACTTTATGGATGGAGAGGAGATGGGACGCAGCCTTCACGTACTGCTCCTGAAAACACAACTGCTTTGCAAAGGCTTCTACTGTCCAAACCCAGGCCTGATACCCAACTGCAAAAGAGAAGGCAAAGTTTTAAAACTGGAAGAACTCCGGCGGGATGACATCACGTATCTCTTCTCTGCCTCAGACTAGTTTCTTAACCAACTGTAGGGCTTCACTACCAGTAAAAAAAGTTTAAAGTATATTTACATCAGGCAGCTGTAAGGACCACAACATATTACAAAGTACCAACTTTATGCTTGGAAGTAAGAGCCTGCTCCTTCAAGAAGTCCCAAAGGCAGCCACTCTGTTTCCTGCTATCCCAACCTGTGGGTGCCTGTGGAAATATTCAGGTCTCAGTCATAAATAGGATGTGTTTTACATCTGATTTTTGTTATCAGGCAGTTAAAGAAGCAACTTCCAGTCTGGAACAATCACGAGTTTCCAACCCTGAACAATCAGAAGGAGGCTTCTCTTGACAGCTAATTCCATCTGTTTGTGTTACAAGACCAAACGTACCCATGGGTGAGATGGCCACCAGCTGGTCTGTCAGCTCTCCCCTCTCAGCAGCTGCCTGGAGGACACCCTTCATATCACCCTTCCACAACATGAGCTGCTGAAAGAGATCTGGATGTCCATTCTCCAAGTGGTGTTTTCCTGTTGGAACCAAACACACTTCCTATCAGCTGGAATGCAATAGCATTATTCAAGCATTTTTCCCAATTTGTTTTCTCCTGGAATATAAGTTACAATGAACGTGTTATCAAAGTGGATTCATTATTCCACTTACCTTCCACATCAATCATTTTGTGCAGAGAGGCCCTGTCTGTGAACAGTCCCAAGTGGATACGATCCTTGAGGTCAGGGGACACGTCTTCATTATGATCTAAACCAGGTAAGAAGAATGAATATTGAAGATTTGGTACAACACTGGGAACTGGGACCTTCCATGTCACTCTACTACTACATTGCACTCAACTGGTGGCAAATACTTTAGTCTTCTTATGTTCTGTCAGATCAGCAGCTAGAACATACTTCTAAGTTTGATCAGGACCATATATGTGCAAAGCATTTATTCTAAATGTAGCACAGCATATCTCTTTGCATGTTCTAAGGAGCAATACTGTGAGAATACTAACATCTTCCTCATGGTTTATTTTCTCCCACCCATATTATGCCTCTGCAGGTAAAAATACTTTGCACATGAACAGAGAATCCTACTCTTCGCAGATCAAGGCCTGGCTGTATCCTACTCAAAGCCTGGCTGGAGTGGCTAGAGTGCTGGAACACTGCAGAAGTCAGGTAAGAGACCACAACTAGTCACACACTTAGATAAAGGGAAGTATTTTAGAAAGATAATGCTTACTGGTCAAAGTCAAGTCCTTGGACATGTGCTTCTGAATACTTTTGAGCCCCTATCCTCCAAGTATTTTAGTTTTAGACTGATACCTTTGGTTTTCAGACACGCAGCCAGCCTCAAGCAGTCCTGATGCATTTCGTCTTTTGATCTGTGGTCCAGGAATGTGCTGAAGGGTAGAATAGAACGAGGCTTCCTCTTCTTCAGAGAGGCATCAGGAGCTGAAAAATCAGACATTTTACTTGCTGCTGCAGAGCTACAAGTCCCCTACAGCAGAGCTCTCCAGTTCAGGGTATTCCAAACCCCCTCTTCCTCACACAGGAAAACAAAAACCAGATGCCAAGTGCCACATGCACTTCTACTATGACTTCTGAATACTGATCACTTGGCATAGTTTTCTGCCCATCTTGTCTGGAATGAAACTAGCAAACAAAAGGCAGCGTCTAAGCCCACACTGAACAGCTGACAATCCAGGCAGGTAAAAGAAGCAGCAACTTAAAATGTTCAAGAGATTTTAGAAGTGCTCTGAGAGTGCCTGGAATGAGGACCTTGATACAGGACCTGAAACATAGAATCATAGAATAGTTAGGGTTGGAAAGGACCTTAAGATCATCTAGTTCCAACCTCCCTGCCACAGGCAGGGACACCTTACGCTAAATCATATCACCCAAGGCCTCATTCAACCTGGTCTTGAACACTGCCAGGGATGGAGCATTCACAACCTCCCTGGGCAACCCATTCCAGTGCCTCACCACCCTAACAGGAAAGAATTTCCTTCTTATATCCAATCTAAACTTCCCCTGTTTTAAGTTTGAACCCGTTAGCCCTTGTCCTATCACTACAGTCTCTAATGAAGAGTCCCTCCCCAGCATCCCTATAGGTGCCCTTCAGATACTGGAAGGCTGTTATGAGGTCTCCACGCAGCCTTCTCTTCCCCAGGCTGAACAGCCCCAACTTCCTCAGCCTGTCTTCATACGGGAGGTGCTCCAGTCCCCTGATCATCCTCATGGCCCTTCTCTGGACTTGTTCCAACAGTTCCATGTCCCTTTTATGTTGAGGACACCAGAACTGAAACATACTAACTTGCTTTCTCTTTAGGTGGATCCTTCTTCACAGGAATGGCTTTCTGGGCCACAGAAGTCTTTGGCAAGCTGAGTGATGAATAATCATATGCAAAGGAAGGTGTATCCTTGGACACTGTGGAGGTAAGTGATAAAAAAAGGAAACACGATTCATGGAAAAGCCCATAGCAGAACACTTGGATATATTCACATCCTGTTACATGGATTCTGAAATACACAGAAAGCAAGCTTTGCTTTGCCATGGCACTGAACAGCTTTTTAGGGCAAGCAAGTATTAAGAAAACATTACAGAGCTGTCAGAAAGCTGAACAAGGTGTAAAACACACTAAGGTCCACCGCTATTTTAAGATTTATGACCAGAAGCCAACACTGATCAAAAATGACATTGTTTCAGCCCAAACTAGTTTAGAAAATGGTGAAATACATTCCAGGACCACATTTCCTTCACCAAGACTATTTCAATAGGTGTTATGAGAAAATCTTCATGAAAATATTGAACTTGATGATGATCTGAGCACTGAACACTCTGGGAACCATTGAGCTAAGATGATTTTATTATTACCAGTTGTGGAGACTTTATCAGGCAACTCTGCCTCCTGAGCTTCTTTTTCTTCTTCATGGTCCGACACTCCGCTTTCCTCTGGCAACATCTCCCTTGCGCTCTCATCTCCATTCATGGCATCACTTGGATCCTGCTTGCCTGGGCTCTTTCCTATAGGTTTTTTCTTCTTCTTGGCTTTGACTTTTGGTTGCATACTTCTTTTCTTCTCCAATTCTATACTCTTTTTGCCTGTAAAAGGTTGCAAAAGTTACCTGGATATTATCTCTAGAGATCAACAATTAGTTTCCAAGTAAGGATACAACTCAATTTAAACCTAGACACAGTTTATTCTTTGGAATTCAGCATTGGAACTTATCACATCAATGTGGCAACCCTCTATTTCCCAGTTCCAACATCGTGTTCAGGAAAGGATCTGATGTTTGAATATACTTACCTTGAGGAGGCCGTGTATGCTCCTGCTTTGAGATGTGCCATTTATGAACAGAAAAATCATCTGCTCCTGTATAAACAGAATCCGGATCCACTGGTGACCACTGGACACTCAGCAGCCGGCCCTGGTGCCCTCGGTAGTTGCAGAGCGGCTCTTCCTTCATAACATCCCATACCTTAGAAACAAAGAAGAAATCCAGTTACTCAGAAAGTCTCATCTTCCCTAATACTCTGCATTTTTCTCTTCAGTGATTTGCACTTGTAGGAGCTTCTCTATGCATGTTGAACAGGTATTTCAAATACCACCATGGAGAAAAATCAGAGCTTCCTTTGTTTGCCTAACATCTTTTTTAAGGATCTAAAAGTGCCAGTATGAAAATGGTAACAACTGAACTTACAAATCAATTTGTGAGTTGCAAAACCACACAGATACCTGCAATCAGGTATCCAGAACCAGGAGATAGTTCCCAAGGGCAAATGTGCACTACTTCAGTCATTTATCTCACAGAAGCTTTGCTGTTTAGTCAGCTCTAAAACACTATACAATGGATGATCTCAGATACACATCTAAGAGGCTGTGGAGCAATACCTGAGCAGTGCCATCATAGCAAGCAGATACCAATCTTCCCTCATGGTGGGGGCTCCAAGAGAGACTTGTGATTTTAGCTGTGTGCCCAGCCAGAGTTCGAAACGGCTCTGCTATTGTCAGAGGACTTTCTGAAGTGCTCTCTGAAACAAAAAAGAAAAGCATCGGGTACAGGCAGCAAAACAAACTGAGAGTAAACCAGAACAAGATGCCAAAACTTGGGATATAATCTGTTACCTATGACGCTCTTCAGATTATGCACATAAATAGTGGCATTGATTGAGCCTGAAGCTATCAGGTAACTCAGCTCTGGCTGGCTCCCATGCTCATGATGCCAACGAATAGCGTTAATCAGTTTATGATGCTGCTGAATAGTGCAGAGCAACTTCAAGTTTGGTGCCTGGAATATTTCAATTGAGCTGAAAGTAAGAACAACAGTGTAAGAATTCCAGCAGTCAGTGAAAATGGGTATTTTTTGTTATCCTGCATGAGCAGAATTACAGGATATGAAAGAGAGTAACTAAATGAGCTTCTTTTCTGGATTCAACTCAAAACCTCACTTAACACATCAGTAAAAGTGCATTTTAATCATGAGTGGGTCCTTAAAAAGTAATTTGACATGATGATGTGGATCCTCCATGCCAAGAGCAGCTAAACCAACTAACAGCAAGGAATGCGGTATTATCACAATTCAAATACATCATCAGTGAAAGAACAGAGACAAACCAGGGCAACAAAAAGTACTTTTGCTTCATGACAGAGATTCTGGTCAGATCAGCACATAAACCACCTTAACCTCCAAGTGACACATACCCATCTTCATTGCCAAGAGCCAAGAGTTTGCCATCTGGCTTCCAGCTGATCTCTGTACGTGCAGGCAGTTTGTGCTGTAGAAAGAAGACACAACGATTGCCAAAAACTCTTCAATCTCTTTCACGTGCATTCAACAGGGCAAGGCTGGCAACTGGATGGAGCAGCAATCATTCAGGACATTATTCAGGATATTATTTCAAGTGCTTTGAAACTGGAAAGCTCTATATAAACTGATTGTTTCAAACCGCCACACACAGCTTTAAAACCAGATTCTACTTCAATTTTATTTTTCTAGTTAAGAAAATGGAGTAACTGATGCTGGAAACAGATGTGCATGTTGAGATCAGGGGGTAAAGAGACCCTTTTTCAGAGACAAACTGTTTAAATTGTTTGAGTCAATATATGTCTGAAGTTCATCTGTGGAGACTGTGGGTTTCAAACTTTTCATTGCTACAGATACATCATGCGGGCAAAATCAGAAACCTACAACTACAAGGGCATAGAAACTATGATTTAGTTACCATGAATCCATAAAATCCCCTCAAAACTGTACTCACTTTGATTGAATTAGTGTCTCGGATGACTTTGTTGATGTCATTTGCCTCTCCATTAAGCTTCCAGGGGTTGTGTTGAAAAACAATACCTTCTCCAGCACAACTATATAACGTCACAGAGGGCTGTTCACCTTCTCCTCCTATCCAATAGAGGAAAAAAAACCCTAAATATACCATGTTCTTCATCAGTCTTCCCAGAAGGAATCACTCCTATTATAAATCAAAACATTTTAAAAGGATATAGATGTGCTTCAGTTGCCTGTGCTGAAATTGACTAAGAAATTCTCACAATTCAGTCCTCTGCTTCTACAAACAGATCTCTCCATAGCATCATCCCTGCAGTCATTAAAACTCCCTTTAAAGTTTAGTCCTTAAATTCAAGTTGTGAAGAGCTAATGGAGTTTTGATCAGTTCAAATGGTAGAAACAGACTTCTGGAGCTAAGGAACACATATTTGCAGGAAGCCTGTGCAGATACTGCTCTGTAACACCCTGAAGTAAGAGCAGGTGTGGTGCACACCTACTTCCTGAAGCTCCTAGATTTCAAACTGGAAAAGGTTGTTTTGCTCCCTTGCAAAACTATTAACAGGTCCTTCAGCAGAATGCATCCTTAGCTGCTAGAAAGGACTGCTACCAAGCAAATAGGGCTCCTTTTCCTATGAAGGGATGGCATACCAACTTCATGGCATCTGTGTGCTCTGCATGGATGTTCTACTTCATCACAAGGCACAGGAAGACTCACCAGGAAACAGAGGAGGAGTTGGAGGCCCCCAGGCTAACGTGTACACAGTCTTCTTGTGGTACGTACTGGAGATCTGAGGTGGCTTATTCTTAGCACTGGGCAGGAAGATAAGGAAGCAGAGACAGATTTCAGCAGAGAGGAATACAAAAATAAAATCAACATATTTCCAATGATGAAATAAGACACCACGCGCTTTAGCATCCTAAAGCCATGGCATAACCAAGCCTTCCTTAACATCTCCTGTAGGACACTACTAAAATCATAACAAAATTGTCCTGATGACCTTTACTTGCATGTTGCTTTTCATTCTCTGAAAATGCCTTTCTGTCTAAAGCCTTCTCTGACTGATATTCTTGCACAGGGGTTCTCTGGTCATGCAATTTTAAGTAAAGATTACCTTAGAAGCTAACAAACAATAATGGAGAGATTAAAAGATGCACTGACAATCCAACTGTTTGACTAGTTTTAATTTAATCCTACTCTTGTCTAACAGTGAAGACATACCTCAGAGAAGACCACAGCCCCTCTACATGGTAACATACCAGCAGGATCTGACACTAATGAATTTGAAAGTTACTTTCTTACCTGCCGGAGAAGGTGTCAAATATGCCAACTTTTCCATCATCTGTTCCAAAAGCCAAGCAGCCTTCCTTAGTTGGATGCCAGGATAACTGCAAGCAAAACAAAAAGAGACTCAGAATGACACAAGCTACAACTACAGCCACTTGATCTGATCACTCTGCTATGAGCAAAGGCTCCCCCCTTGCAGCTATAATGGGATAAGATGAAAAGGATTAAAATCAGTGAAATACTATTTGACGTCTGCATTACAAAATAGAAATGGAGACTGTGGTAGAATGGTGAGAAGACTTTGGTGTGGTTTTGAGCGTGTTAAACTACCTAGCAGAGCAAGTGCAGTCATAGATAAAGAAAGGAAGGATCATGAAGTAGGACAAAAGTCAAAGAGCAGTGAAACAGCCAGTGGGACTTCAGCTGATTTCACTATGTAATGCAAGTATCTAGGGTAGGTGAAAATTTGTTGCCAGATTCTAAAATGTATTGTGTACCAAAAGAATCAAGTAGAAAAGGAACAACTTGGCTTTATATATTGTTAGTTGGGAAGAACCTTCTTTGGAGTGGAAGAAAAAAAAAAATGGGAGTGAAAAGATAAAAAAGAAGGAATCAAAAGGACACTTACTGCTGTAACTTTGGACTTTATGCTTTGCCAGAAGGTTTTAACATCATAAATATTGTTCATGGACAAAGTATTCCACACCCGGATCATGCTGTCTCCAACACCAATGGCAAGACAGCCCGTGTCCACAGGGGAGAATGCAAGACTATAGACAAATCCCCCAAGGGAGGGCATGGTCCAGATACAATCAAGAGTTGACAGGTCCCAGCACTTTACCTGAAGAGTAAGGAAAAAGGAATGGTTAACAGAGACTGGCATGACAAGGAGAAGCAAAGCATGAGTGAGATAAAGGGTCAAATTCAAGGCTTGACATAGTATGTGGTCTCCATCCTGAGGATTACATGTCACAGTCAGGGCTGCAATAGCTGGAAGACTCTAATGGAATGGACAAAATGGCTAGATTTTAATCCTATGGTCCTCTTCTAACTTAAAAATACAAGGCACTCTCCTGCCTGGAAAAGGCAGAAAGTTAAAAACCAAACAAAAACAAAATCCCTTTAGTTTATACCAAGTAGATGATTTTAAGAAGGAAAAAGACCTTTTTAAAATGAAACATTCAGGAAAAAGATGGTAAACTCCCTTATTAAATGCTTACCATTCAAGTCTAGAATGTTAACAATTCACGCCAACATGGTAACGGTTGAGTTTATAAACTAACAAAAATATACACAGGGACTCGGACAAATTTTAGGCAACGATGTTACAAAAAGCTGCAGTAAACCCACTTTAAGAGAAAATCTGTGGCCCTAAACGAGGTAGGCTCACTCAGTCAAACTGTACAGGTAGGGCTATTTTTATGTTAACTTTATGAATGGTTCTTACATCTCTGTCCATCGAAATCGAAAAAAGCAGTTCTTTGTCTTGATGCTTCACAGAACTCAGATTGAACACAATCCGGGAATGATTTTGTCCTTCTGAAGATCCTAGAAGAGTCCACTTGCGTTTGCCAGACTGGGTCAAATCCCAGAGCAGCAGTTCTCCTCTGCAAGATGTAAATGTGTACTTCATTGTTCACTTCAAAATTATAATATAGGTTAATATAATAATATATAGACACCGTATAACATGTATACATATTGCAAGTACAAGAGCAATACAGCTTGACACACATCCACATCGTGCAACTATAAGCAGATATGCACATGCAGCTTTCACCCTACAAACCATATCCTTAGCTACCCACACTGAAAACTGACATCATTTCCTCCCAGTAGATGGGCAAAAGCCCAGTATAGCAGACATATTAAGTTAGATTATCAGACAAATTATAGGACTAGTAGTTTTCTAGAAGTCTGAACTCACACTTTAACTCTTGGTCTGTTTTCTCTCTAGTTATACTGGGAAGGAAGAAGGGGATGTCAGCGTTTCCTACGCAGTTCTTCCTTAAGGCTCAATAAATTAATCCACAGCTATTGCTGGGATCTGTGTGCCTTACTTACCCAAAACAGCTGGATACAATTTCAGTGGGATGACCAGGCGGCCAGTGAACAGTCAGCCAAATTCGCTCCTTAACAGTGGGATCAACAGCTCCACCTCTTCTCTTTGTGGGTGGCAACCTCAAAGTCATTACACCTATGGAAGCAAGAGGGATCATTTAGACCCTCAACATCAAACACATCAACATTCTCAGAGAGAAAAAGAAGTCATGTCAATCTGAAGTATGCTCCCCATGCTTTAAACTATCAAGTTAACCAATCAAGGCTGCATTTAGAGAGTTCTTCCACCTCCTGTTATCTCACATTATCAATCTTACTCACTTCTGCCTCTAGTGCAGCTCCATATTCGTATGGTCTGATCTTTGCTTCCTGAAGCCAGGTAACAACCTTTCTTCGTGGTTGTGTCCGGTGTCAGCTCCCCATTTGGAACTTCGCCTTCCTCTGAAGGAACAACTGAATACCATTGAAGTCATGTTATTATACTTGAAAAGTCAAACTTTATAGAAATTACCTGAAAATATATTGATTTTTAGCAGAATATACATTACTGAATTTACCAGTTGACTTTGCTTAGTGACTTACTGACTTTCTATAAGGAATTCAATGTACTAGAAGGACATTTACATAAACTAAACCCAACTTTATAAACTATTAATCAGTTTTACATACCTGGGAACTCATCTTGCCAAGCAGATAACCTTTCTTCACCAGACACAGGGCACCAGGCCAGACAATGTACTTCATCGTCATGGCCTCTCAGCCGATGCAGTACTTCTCTTTTCCTGCTGATATCAATTATAACCACCATGCCATCCTTGTAGCTAAAACCAGAGATTTAAATTAATGAAAAGATTCTTGGATCCTTTTGGAATAATACCTAAGTCAATTTTCAAGCTCTTTACTAGGATCACCATTACTGTGTTACAGAGAAGCCAAATCACAAGCCACAAGGGGAGCAGCAGTAGCCTAACAGTCCAGGGGAGCTCCATTTAGCACTGGTGTACCTGCAGCTGCTTTTTCAAGAACCAATATATTTGGCTTAAAGAGTGTCAGCAATTCATTAGTAATACAGCTTCCAGTCAAGTCTAATTAAAAAAATTAGAGTTTTAAGATACTCCATAGCAGCAAACCAAACCTGGGCCCTTACACTGTTACAGATTTCTGTGTTTGGCAGGTCTACCAAATCTAAATGTTATTTCTAGTTTGTTCTATACCAGAAAACCACTTAAAATTAACCTTACAACTGTGCAGCAAAAATTCACAATAAGGTTCTTGCAGAAGAAAAATGGAAAACGAAACTTAATGAATATTTACCCAATTGCCACCAGGTTTTCATGATGAGGAGAACAAGTGAGACAGAAAACTGTCCGAGGCTCTGGGAAGAACTGCTGGCTGTCACTTCTGTTGTACCAGTAACAAACAATGACTCCTTTTTCATCACCAGACACAATCAGATCTTTCACAAGAGGTGACCAGTGCAGTGCTGAGATCGCATTCTGAAGAGAAGAGGATTGAATACATTTCAAAGCTGTTTTGCTACCATCTAACATGGAATAAGAGGTACAAAATAATCTGCAAGTACACCTCAGCATCAGCTGAGTTTGTTCTAAAGGTTTTCAGTTCTTCTAGGCATTGGCCGATATGGTGTCCTGATTCAAGATAGCTGTTCAAATGCTGGTTCTTAGTCTCTCCTCTGTGGAACAGTAACTTGCTGAACAGATTTAAAGCAAGCTGGGTTAAGTGCAATGAGTACATGCTACAAGCACAGGCACTTACTGAGGCTTTGATGGTAACCAACAGCTTATTAAGGTGATGTAACAAAAACGCTGGCCTAAGGCTACAACAAAAAGCTGGCGAGAAGCATTCAATGTTATTTATTTCATTGGTTTTGAAATCATCAAATCCCAGACTGAGCTGGGTTGCAAGGGACCTTAAAGCTCATCCAGTTCCAACCCCCTGCCACGGCAGGGACACCTTCCACCAGAGCAGGTTGCTCCAAGCCCTGTGTCCAACCTGGCCTTGAACAGTGCCAGGGATGGGGCAACCACAGCTTCTCTGGTTAAATTCAACCGTGGTTACAGCGACATTACCCCGCTCTGTGTGCAAGACCCGAACATCCCTCCCTACCCTGTGCCTTCTTCCACCTCCCCAGCCCCGCGGCCCCCGGGGACATCCCACCTGGTGCCGACTGTGCTCCACCACGGGAGCCAGTGTCTCCGTATCCCAGATTTTGACGCTCCCATCGTCGGAGCTGCTGGCGCAGAGGCTACTCTGCCCCGGGCAGTGGCAAAACGCGAACCCGGAGATCCTTTCCGTGTGCCCGATCAGCTCTCCTGCACCGACAGAGACCGCCATCAGACCCCCGTGAGCTCTTCAGCATCCCCCCCCCCCCTCCATGGGTCCCGCCGCCCCCCACGTGTCCGAGCGGCAGCTCCCGGCGGAAGCGCGGCCCCGTGGCGCTCGTATAAACCAGGGAGGCTGAGGGCCCAGCATCCCGCTGTAACGGTACCGTAGAACGCAGGTGCGGCGCCGCCGATCTCCAGCAGGCAGACGCGGTGCCTCGCCGCGAAGCCGAAGAGGCGGCCGTCGCTGCTGGCGTCGCTGCAGCGGCTGCTGTACCAGTTGGGCGAGGCGGGCAGCACCCGCACCCCTCCGGCCGCCGCCATCGCTCCCCCTCCGCCCACCGCACGGGCGCTGTCGCCAAGCGCCCCGCACGCCGTCGCAAAACAACGCGCCTCGCCGCGCGTGCGACTGCCGTGAAGCGAGGCCGGGAAGATGGCGGCGCGGTGGGCTGCAGGTGTGGGTAAGTATGAGGGGCCGGGGCAGAGCGCTGGTGTCAGGAGGATTTTGCCTGCTCATTCCTCGCTTGTTCCCGTGCTGGTTCTTTATAGGTAACGCCTGTGTGCGCGGTCTGCTGGGTTTGGCGCGGCCGGAGAGGTGAGTGTGGCGCTGACGTGATCCTGGAGCTGCAGGGAATAGGCCGCTCCGTGCCCCTGAGGTGTCTTTCTGTGTGCTTGTGGCATGGTGTGGTGTGGTGTCTGGTGCAGGTCAGGGGAATGTAGTGCCTGTTGCTTCTCTCTGCGTTCTCCCTAGTCGTTGCTTTTCTGTAGTTGCTGGTCTTTCCCCTCAATCTGGAGGAACGGCAGAGTGGTGCTGGAGGAGCATCGGTTGCTTTTGGCTGTATCCCTGACTTCAGAAGAAAGGCTGGTGTGGGCTCTCAAAGTGCAGAGCTTTGGTCTTTCCTAGAGCCTGTGGGGGTAAATTGGAGTCATTGTGTCACTGAAGGAAGAAGAAACAGGCATCTTGTCTCCTGTGCTTTACTGACTTGCATTTGAACAGTTACATGATGATGCTTTACTCAGTTCTTCTAGTCTGTGTATGTCCCACTTGTTACTTATGCATGATGCTTTCTAGAAAGCTTTATTTCCTGTTCCCATTATTTACCCATCTCTAATGTGGTTTTGTTTGTTGCTTGTCACCATTTGCTTATGAGTGTTTGTGTCCTGTTCTAACGTTATGATAGTTGCTTTTCATATGAGGTTGGATTACCTTAAGGTGGGGAGAATGCACGATTCTTTAGTTAAGTGTATTAATGTTCTGTTAATACCAGAAGTTCATTAGTGATTAAGTTGTTCAAGGACAAAAATGATATTCAAATATTTCCCTGTATTAGTGGATGCTAATGTGTCTGGTGATGATAAATTATTGTCCCGGTGAGTGAAAATTTTAAGTATTAAGCAAATAAATTGCTTTTGTTAAATATTTTGAAATATATTCTGTAACATTTAAATCTGTATATTCTGCTACTCCCTACTGTTAGGATGTGAAACCTTTAAGGTGTACAACGGCCTTTTGAAACTGATCAATATGTACACAAAGCTGTTCAAACCTTAGTCAAATTCACAGTGTCTGGTCTTGAGCTCGTGTGTTTCCTGTAGTTAGAAGTGGCTGCCCTGTACTGCTTTATCTGGTCAGCAGATGGCAAAATAGAGCTTGGTTTTTCTACTGAATCCGAGGTGAGCGACTGAGAACTGGAGGTTTTTGCTGTCACTGGCTTACATTGATGTGATTGCATTTGGAAAGTAGTTTTGATTGTCTTTCCTTTCAAATCTCAGAAGGTTTATAAACTTATATTATTTCGTGGATACTCAGTCCACAGTTGAAAAATGAACTGTTTACTGCCAAAATGTTGTAGGTAAAAGGTAAATGTATACTGGACAGTCTTGGAAAGAAGTAAATGGTTTGTGGGAGTAATAAACCCTCCATAAGAACAAAAAGGTGACTACATCCTTGTGTGACAGTCCTGGGACACTGAATGTGAAACCTCATGCTATGTCACTGCCACTTACCAAACCACTGTCATGGTTTGCTTTAGGAAGCCTGAGGCTTCTTACTGAATTAAAGTGTCCTTTCAATGTAAGCTATAGAGGACTTGAACAGTTTTATTTTGCGAGTACTCAAATGTGTCAGTTCTCTTTGTCAGGACAGGTAAGTTCACAAGTTTCCAGATAAACTGGGTAGGGACAAAGAGCCCTGATGTTCAGCAGCAAACACTGTGGTCTTGTCTTGCAGGTGGCTAGCAGCGAGTAGCCTTTTTCCTCTGTCATGCATCCACACGTCATGCACAGCTCTGCAGCAAATTGGAAAGTGGGAGAAAAAGAACAGGATTGTTTACCCTCCACAACTGCCTGGAGAACCTCGCAGACCAGCTGTAAGGATGTCCCAGGGAACTTACTTACCTGTTTGTGTTTGGCTGCTTCTGATTAAATTGTGATTGTCTCTGAGTGACTCCACAAGACATTGGTTTGATAGTTTATTTGTCTGTTATTTAATATTTTAGTTAGTTTAACACACTTGTATTATAAAAGTTAACATCAATTTGTATGTTTCTCATTTACAAATTATATTGGAGCTTCACGTTGCAAGTATGTGATGCAAATTGCTGAGGCTTCACTCTATGTAGAAGTCTCTGAACTACAAGGACGTAGAAGTTACCAAGGATGTGTCATTATACGCTGTTTGTAGTGACAGTAAGTAACTAGAGAGGAATGTCACTGTATTGTTGCTTCTGTGCACAAAGATATAAATGTAACTTTCCTTGAGCAGTGGAACTAGTGGTGCCTTTGATGTAGGTACAATAGAGGACGTGCTCTTTTCACTTCTTAATTTCTTTGTGTTATCGGACTTCAGAATATATAATGCATTGCCTGTTGTTGTGGTCTCCCCTTTAACTAAGCTCTTCAGATGTTTTCTGTCATAGCCATTGCTCAAAACATTCAATATGTACTGAGAAAGGTTCTATGGGGAGGGATGTGTGAATCAGATATGGCATGTTATTGAGGTGTTTTTCTTAGGAAACTGTTTTATATATGCTGTCAGTGGGCTTGTTTCTTCAGTCTGGTGCACAAGAACTTGTGTTTTACTAAGCCATAAACTGCAGCAAAGAATCTAAACATCCTTTTGTTACCTGTATGCTCAGTGTAGGGTCTTCTACTGTTCAAGACAACTTTTGGTAAAGTCAGCGTACATAAACCGGTCACATTTTTCAATATAGTCAAAATAGGTTGGGTTTTGATAACAGCAGGTTTATGCCTATTTCTCCCTGTCCCTGGGAAGTACAGTTACCTGTGAATAGGAGCAAGCCTCTTAAGTTGTGCTTGAAAACTGAGTGTCCTGTGTTTGATCACTGAAGGGGTTAACCAGTGCTGCTTTCTTTATAGCACAACCTGGGAGAATTTTAGGTTAATTGTTCAGTATTTCCTCACTCTCAAGAACGGGTATTTTGAAATTGCATTTTTGTAATTGTTCTTCATTAAGAATTAATGTGCTGTGGCCTCTGTTAGGCAGCAAAGTGAAGTGTTTGCATCTCAAAAGGATAGAGGGTTTTTGGATGTGCTTTTCTGGGCCATGAGCATTTATCACTTTTGTGAACGTTATGGCCTAGGACATAGAAATACTGTGCTAACTAATGCAGTGTATGTGAAAATGCAGTTATCAACCAACTCTGTTATTAAATCAGGGTTTTTTACCTGTTCATAGCTAATGCCACCTCTTTAAAAAAAAACCCAAACATATATATTGGTGTTAAAACTTGCTAGTTTTAATCCGTGTTAGTAAAGTAATAATGTTAACTGGGTCTTTCAGACAGCTATTCATGCCAGTCAGACTTGAAACCCTCTTCACTTCTGAAGAGCTATTGAAGTTCAGTCTGGAATATTGTGTAGTTGCTCTTCCAGTAAGTTGACTTGACAGCAAGAGTAGTATTTTTTAGACTGAATGGGCATGTCTGTCATAGACTGCTTCAAAATGTGGGGAGGAGGAAATGAAGAGATGATGAAAAAAAGTTTGTGATTGTCTAGCTACTTCTCTTTTTTTAATGCTTTCAGCTTCAAAAGTGTGCCTGATTTGTGATGTTCATGGTATAACAGGAGAAGTCATATTAGTTCTATTCTTAGTAAGAACACAGTGTAAGGCTTATATGCTTGATTCTTGTTTTCACAGCAGAATTACTGATCCTCCCACTTCTTTTTTTGCACCTAGGAAATATATCACTGTCGGAGGGAGATAAAATACAGCAAAGATAAGATGTGGTACCTAGCAAAACTGGTAAGCAAGAAGTGCTTTGTACTGTATTTGTTAGAACACCAAATTCAAGTGCTGTATTTGCCTTAACAGCCTTGTTCAGGCACAGTCTAATCAGCAGCTTTGTAATAGAGTCCTGGGGAAGAACATGCATCTGTGCAGGCGAGCGGCTGTGTGTAGTTTGGTTTAGCTGCTTTATCCTACTACACTCTCAGATGTGTACCCAGGATCAGGTGCAGATCATGCACTGTGGAAGCATTTTTGTGTTTGCTTCTGCCTAGTAGTAGCTGGCAAGTGGAGCTTTGAAGGATAGTAATGGACTAGTTTTCTCTTTAAAGAAAACATAATTAAATATCAAGATTTTTTTAATACTTAGCTCAGAAGTTCTGTATTTATTACATTGAAGAAATGGTAATTAAAGAAGTTCTTTTGATTTGCTTTTTATAATGGCAAAATAATTTCAATACTGTCTTCTGAATAAGAGAAGGGAAATGTTTGTAATTGCAGAAGCTAACTTTAACACTTTGATTTCAGATAAAAGGGATGTCCATTGATCAGGCTCTGGCTCAGCTGGAATTCAGTGATAAAAAGGGAGCAAAGGTGATCAAAGAGGTATGCAGTAGGATTCTTTAACATTCCTAGTTTCAAGAAAACTTTCAAATCAATACCCATCACCAGAAGTTTGGAGTTGTTTCTGTGTTTTTCTGTTTCTGTTAAGCTCGTTGGGAGCAGAGTCAAACAATGCTTTTGTAGCAGTCATGTAATGTTGTGGCTTAGGAATATGCCAAGGTCCTTTGTGCTGCTGGTTTAACTTGTAATAATAATAAATTACATTGGGTACCTCTCTAACAGTGTTTGGTGTTAAGTTCATGGTAAACAATGCAGAATCCTTGCACTAACAGTTCCTACATGTATGTGCTTTGGTTCTTAAAGTTGTGAGAGATGAAAGATAACCATCAGGGAAGGTTCTGTAAAGGCATGAAAGCTTTTCATAGACTGTAGTTACTAGGAGTCTCAAATTACTCATTTTCTTGGCCAAAGTATTGATTTCTGGCATCATAATGACCAAGTAGGATACTGTATTAGCTGAAAATACTGAATGGCCTAAGCTCATTTTGCCCGTCATGGAATTTGTTTCCAGTCTGATGTGTAATTAGACAAAGGTCCATGGATGGAAGGCTGATACATGCTGGTGGAAACCATCTTTTCCACTCCCTTTCCTTCCCAAAAATGTAATAAAATTGTCCTGCACCTTTTTCATTCTGTATGCAAAGAACATATTTATGTGCAAGATGCTTGTCTTTTAACAATATAGATCTCTAAGGCACTAACAGAAAAAGTATTCTACAAGTTTGCAATTTGTTCCATCTTATCTGGAGATAAGAAATAGCATTGCTTAAATTCCTACTCAGCATTTCCATTTCTTTTCCTTTTGTTACAGGTTCTGTTAGAAGCTCAGGAATTAGCAGTAAAAAAGCACAACGTGGAATTCAAATCAAATTTACATATAGGTACTTTTTCCTCCCTGCTCTTTCAAGTGAGGTTTTGTTGCTTTAAATCAGCTGAAGTGATGGAGGATGGTTTCTAGTACACTTGGCTTTACCAAAACATGAAAGGCAAGTGTACAGAAGTTAGTGAGGTGGTTGAGCCTTCAGCCATCACTTTGTGTTGGTGTCTGACTGGTGTTCTTCTGACACCTGGATGCATTGTTTTTAAGACCTGTTCGTCTTAAAGTTGAATTTCTGCTCTCTATGTGAACAGAAAGTCCTGAAGAGGAGGATGATTGACATGATCATGAAAGACTAGACAACAAGAAGCAAACAGTTACTACTTTTTATTGTTGCCAGTAGATGTAGATGCTGGAAGCTTTGCCCATGGCTTAGTACTACTAGATTTGCAGGATGGGAACCTAAACTTCTGTTTGAAACAGTATAAATGAATATTGACAGTAGATTTCTTTATAAAAAGGCTTTGCTCTAGATGACTACACGATAAGTTTGTAGTAACTACAGTGCTGTCTAAAAAATGTTAGAGAAATGTTTACTTGTAGGTGGTTTTTTTCCCAAAGGGGAGAAAAGTCCCATCTTTCCAAATATGGCATAAATGTTATTAAGCTGACCTCATAAGCTTCAAGTAACCTGGACTGGAGAGCAGATTTGATTAGAAGTCTTTGGAGCCTTCCAGGCCTCTGCCATAAGAAGGTTTATCTGCTAGTGCAGGACTGGATGTGTAGATAATGAAAATACTCATGATGAATGCAATAAAGGGAGAAAGGAGAGAAATGAATTCTGTAAGACTTCTGCAGGAATTCATGAGACAAATTGCCGAAAAGCAGTGAAATTAATACCACTTTCAGAAGAGCTGTATAACCCAGTCAGTGCTCAGTGTGGTTTCCTTTGTATTTTTCCTTTACTACACATTCATCTTTGCATGCATACTTTCTAAATTCACATTTTTGATGCTCCTGAAGAGAGTTAATTCAACTAACAGGCTCCTCTATAGCAGTAATCTGCTAACTGTAGTAGAAGAAAGATGGAGGAGGGAATCCTGAGTAGAATTAACTTTTCATATGCAGCCATGAAAAATACACTGGCAAGACAGCATTTCTTTGCAGATGTGTAGTAGTTGAGTCACTGAACACTCTTCTCTCTCCCTCCTGCCGTTTTCTTTCAGCCGAATCAACGACGGGCCGAGGCCGCTATACGAAGCGGATTCGTTACCATGCCAAAGGCATGTTTGGCATCATGAAAATCGTCAGGTGCCATTATTTTGTGAAGCTGGTGGAAGGTCCCCCTCCTCCTCCAGAGCCACCAAAGACTGGGTTTGACCAAGCCAAAGAATACGTGCAGCAGCTGCGGAGTAGAACCCTTGTTAACACACTGTGACAAACTTTTGTGACTGTCTAGGTATTTGTTTGATAATGTAATTATGTAAAAGAATAATTAAAATAATGCTTTAGTGATATCTTTGGTGATGTTGGAGCTGGATGATGCAAGAATGGTCATAGGTTTTTGTTCTTATTTGTTAAGCCATAGGTATGGAAAAGTCTTGGAAAAGCAGCAACAGATGTTACTTTTTCTGAGTTATTCGAACCAGAGCATTCAGGCTCTACCTTGGACTATCAGATCTAGAGTATACAGTGCTGTTATAAAGCTTGACAGGAGCTGTGTTTGTCCTACATTCATGCAGCTGTCTTGGTTATGTATGGTTGGGTGTTTTATTGTAAAAATCGGTGCTTGACAGCCATGTTGCAAGACCAAGACTTGCACGAAAATTGCTAAAATTTGACAAAGTAGCTACAACAATGGAACAAAACAAGTAACAATAATAGTTGAGATTATCAGGCATCAGTTTATGGTTTCTTTATCTGGGCTGTCATGTTTTTTCTTAGAGTCTGCTATGCATCTTGGGCATTGTGTCTGGGAGTGGGGAATAAAAACCCATTTAAAGTTCAGGTTTTGTCAGTCACTAGGTGGCAATGTTTAGTTTGTCAGAGAGGGAAGTGGCAATGAAAACTCAAGTGTTGGAACTGTTTTTATTCTGACCATGGCGTTAACAGTCTGATAGGTGCATGGGGTTCAGGTTGTTCTCTGGAAACTGAGTGTGGGCAACAGGCACAGTATGGAGAAAAGCTTGTCTTGCTGAAGAGTGAACTAATGGTTCTGCTTTGGAAACAAATTGCTTTTTTAATTTTGAGGCAAGTAAGATGCTTGATGGATTTAATGTGGAATGGCTTGTTGAATATACAAATCCAGACTCTGAAAACAATTCCATTTTTATCATTACTCTTTGGAGAGAAAAAGGCTGAGGTCATTAGGGGGCAATCTCATTTCACTCAGACACATTTTCAACTGGGATGGCCAGAGATCATCAGGATAAAAATATCAGCATAAAATGACATCAGCATAAAAAGAATGAGTAGTTGCTTGTTTATGTAAATGTCTGATATTTAGACCTTTTCCATTCTGAGAACATTAGAATGTCAGATAAATTGCTTAAATTTGGGTCTTTTTACCACACCAACCAGCGGTAGCTTTTCTTACAGGTATTTTCTTTGAGCAGTAATCGAATGATGACAAAGGGACAGTTCCTGTAAGGAAACAAATTAGCTTTGTGTCTTAATGAAGGTTGTATACAGCTGTTTCTTTTGGCTACCAGAGAAAAGGTCTCATGATGTTAAAGAGTGATTGTGAAGTTACACAAGCAGTACATGCATAGCTTGGGATTGTTAATGGGTGCTTGCTTGCAGTCTGGTTTTCTGCAGTGCATTTTCAGACACACTACCTGCTTTAAACCTCCGATTTAGTAACTTTTTTCTGAAAGGTATGTTCCTGATAAAACTATCTCTGCAGTCCCTGATGGGGGATTGAAGAACTGTTTCTGTTGTGCTGTGATAAACAGCTCTGCTTTGCTCTGCCAGCTGCTCTTACACTCTTTTGTCATACTGAATCTCTTACAAGTTGTAGCAAACTTAAATGACTTAATCTTTTTTTGGAGTCAGTGATCTGGGAGAAGACTAAGGAATTGCAAAAAAAGCCAAGCTTAATAAGCCCTTGTCATCTAAGCATGTAAAATCTGCCTTCTAGATATTTTATTCCAGGGCCTGTTTCTCCTGCATGCTCTATATTTTGCTTTGGTCCCTTCTGGACCTCCAAGACAAGGTTGTGTCGTTATATATATCATCACTATAGTTGTGAATCTGCAGGTGGGGAGAGAAGTGAGAATGTCACTGATGTCTTTCCCAGCTTGTTTGTTATGCAGCAAAAAGGAGCCCTGACGCTCCTTTAGATAAACAGACCTGGCTTTTAAAATTCTCAGTCAAAAAAGCAAGATTCTTGCTTTTCATTCTTGTTTTCTTTCTCAAAATACTATGTGGGAAGACTGTGACTTGCTTTTCAACATTCCTCTTACTCCTTAGTACCCCTTTCTGCCTTCTTAAGCATCACCTATCATGGATTCTTATGGTGCTGGCCAAGGAAGCTCCATGGTCATGTCAGTAACATACAAAGATGGGAGACTTGGTGAGATGAGGGGCTTCAGCTGGCTTATTCTGCCTGGCACTGGTGTCTGAAGTGATTTCTGTGATAGAAGCATTAAAACATTGCTATAAAAACCTGTCTGAACCTTTATAAAATTCAGTTAAGATCTAGAGATAAAACTTTATACTGTCAAGTTCTGTATATAAATAAAATCTGGGGGGATTGATTCCACCATGCTTTCTTGCCAAGTGATACATCTACACTTCAGTTAAGTATTTGATACGGATTCAGACAGAAAATGCCATGCTAACTTCAACAAGTCTTTAGCAGATGATAATTTATTACTGTGACCTCCAATAAAAGAACATTCTTAAATGAGCCATCACCAGGAGGGAGCGAGAGTGGCACCTCTATGATGCTGATTTTATGAGTGACGTTTGGGGGCACTGTAAACTCGCTACTCATGTATGTATGTGCTGATGTCAGAAGCTGGAGAAGGAACAAGTATGCATGAAGGTGTAGTAAGGCTTCAGGGAAATCTGAAGAGAGCAGCACTGTGAGCTGTGCTCAGCAATGGGAGGTTTAATTGAGGAAAAGTTAACAAGCCCAACAGCAAGTTTTCACAAGCATTTTAAAGTATCCAGTGAGAAAGCTGAAGTACTTCTGTCAGTCTGATGGGTTTTTGGATGTTTTGATTATTTTTTCTTCCTTTATAAAACTCCTGGGCAGTTATTGGGGAGGTAGTTCATCAAAGGTAAAAAAAGACTCAGGGATAGTGTTATAAAGTGGTCATCAGCTTCTTGACAAATACGGAAGATAAATGTGATAGTGACTGGACCTGTTCAGGTCTGTACTGGAAACTGCTGTTTTGGGCTTGGGTGGTATCTGTGCCCAGACAAGCGTGTTTTGCCCAGTGCTTCAGCTGTGTCACTGTATGTGGCATGAACTTGTCTCGATCAAGGTCACACAGCACAAATCTTCCCATTACTCTTGTTTGCACAAACGGGAGGTGTGTAACAGTGCTGCCACCGCATTGCGGAGTTGCTTGGACAGTCCTTCAGCCACTGGAGTAAAGGAACAACAGGAATCACGGTTTGCTTTCTTCCAGTCCCTATGAAAACACACTGCTGGGAGGCTGGAAAGTCATTTGCAAACAAAATTCTCCTTTAAATAGAAATATTGTTACTCCTAATATCCTCCATGAACCATAGGAACAAAGTGTGACATTCTTCACCATACAGTCCTGTTGAAAATGCCCCTATTTCAAGGTTTTCAAAGAACAAGCAGTTATTACCGAGTGACATCTGTCCAGCTGCACTTCAGCCATGTAAGTTAAAATAGTTACTAAACAAACAAGAGACTGAAACAGCAATAATAATCACACAAGTTAGTGTTTGCTGGAGCCTTACCTAGGGAAAATAACTTGAGAGAAGAATTTCAGGAACTGACTTTTGAGTACTAGGCTGAAGTAAGGAACACGATACCTCCTGGGCATAGTCAGCAAATGCAGAGATAATTTTGTATTTGCTCTATAACATCAACACTCCTGTTTCAGGGAAGTTATATGGTAATACAGAGGGCAGACTGACATTGAAGAGAACATGCCAAGGAGAGTGTAACTTTATATTGGGCAAATTAGGCATCCACCTCCGATACTAGCTGAGGAAATTAAGCTGAATGTCTGTGTCCTACACTTGATTAGAGCATTCTTGAAACCAAAGGTGTGGGGCAAAGCATCTGAATAACTGCTGCCTCTGTGGGTGCTGCTTCTGTGTATTGTGTAGGAGTTTTGTGTGGTAAAATGAATTTTTCATATATGGACCTAGATTCACTACCTTTTTTTTTTCCAAATATAATGAAATGGAGGCTTAAACCATATTTGTGTTCATATGATACCTTTATTTTAAACCAGCTTGGATTTAGGACCATTATTAACACTGCATTAAGTCTCTTGGAAATCCAGCTACCTCTCTGGTAGCCTGTACTAGTGCTATGCTACTCTCCCTGAGAACCTCTTATAAAGCCCAGCCTGAGTCTCTGAAGCTCTGTTGTCCTCATCCTTCATTCTGTTGCCTGGTGCTACTGAGAAGTGGTTGACTATCCCACTGTAACTCTCCTGTTGCTCTGAGATCACCCTGCTAATGACCTTTTTGGCAGGATGAACAAGCCAGCTTCAACCTGTCCTCATAGATCTCGTTTTCTAGCCCTTGTCCTGTACTCTCTCCAGTTTCCCTGTCTGTTGCAGTGGGGAAGCAAGAACGAGATTCAGTGTTCCTGGTACAGCTTCAGCAGCACCGATGAAAGGGAGATAACTTCCCTTGGTCATCTGGCCATGCTTTTAGTGGAGCCAAGTATGCAGTTTGCTGTAACTGTGATGAGAGCATGTTGGCTCATATTCAGCCTGATCATGCAAAAACCAGGACCTTTTTAGGCTGCTCATCAGAACTGCGGTAAGTACCTGTGGCAGCTGTGTCCCAGCTCTTGTTGCTTTCCAGTGTACGCTAATGAGGACCCCTTTACCACTAGGCTGTTGTTCTGCTGTGTGGATTATAATTGTCTTTCCTAATAGAAAAGTTGCAAAATGGTTTTCTGGCTTCTGTTATTAATCAAACAGGCTAGCTAAGAGTGCAGTAAAGGCATTTGTACATGCTATTATGGTAAACTCCATCAGGGTATGCAGCTAACAAGCAGTGAAATGTGTCTACACCTCTCCTATTGATTTTCTCCTTCAGAGCAAGACAAACATGGGCCCTTACTGTATGCTGGCCATGTAAATTAAAACCTTAATTAAGTGAAAACAGAGTGGACTGTGAGGTGCACTGCACTGGGCCATAAAAGGATTGATGTTCAAAACCAACTCTTCAAGCTGCCCCTGATTACTTGCCTTCCTTTTTTTCCCCACTTAAAATAGTGCCCAGTAGTGTCTCAAGATGAACTCAGTAAATTTTCCCCTGTATAGTTTACAAGCTCAAGGTTACGGGCTAGAACAAGCGGAGTCATGCTATAAATCAGGTGTAGTGGAACAGCTTGAGAGAGCGCACAGAAGCCCTACTTCCCCTCACGCAGTGTGTGTCCTAAAATTCTGAAGGTGGAGTTGGCACCAACCCAGAAACCCCCACAAATGGCTGATTAAATCATTAATAATGAGTCTCATCCTGCTGCCCTCTCTTCTGGAGTTTGAATTCCCTGAATTATTCCAGTACAGCGGAACGTACTGCAAAATTCTTCATAGGGCTGCACATCAGTAAAGTTTTCACCAGAAAGGTGGTGTAGCTGAGCCCCACTGTGGTGCAGAACGGAGGTGGGACATGTGCCCTGTGGTAGTTTCCCTTGCAGCAACTAAATGCCTTTTGCCAAGGTGCTCTATCATAACTGATAGAGCTTTTGCTTTCTGCCCTATGTGAATTGGAGAGGCCACTCGAGCCCTGTTGATGGCAACCTCTTCAATAGGGCTGTTGCTAAGTTTCATCCTGAG